GGTTGGGCGGGTAACTTGACCCAAATGTGATTAAACTCGCGTCGTCCGGCGGGGCCTCGTAGCTCAGGTGGTTAGAGCGTTGGCTGCGCTAAAGCCTTCCCTTTACTGCGTGGGTTCGAATCCCACCGAGGCGCCGAGTTTTCACAGTTGGGTCAATATGAATGAGTAGTCTGTGTAAAGTAAATTCCCTCATTCTGCTGTGTCCTGCGTTATCCTATATCTAGGGACCTGGATTGGTGACTGCGGCCCTCTGAGTGCATTAACTACTTTAAGGCACCAGACCTCGGCCGAACAATCGCATATCCACGTCCACCACCCTCGAATTAAGTGGAATAGTTTAGTTTGCAGACAGTTGCTCCAGCATGCTCTCAGCACAGCCACTAGCCCACGGCCTAGCCTAGTGTTTCATCAACATTCTACCGCTGCAGAACATATCTGGGTCATTTACTGTTCCCTCGCCCGTCCCTTTGGTCTTTCTTCCGCGACCGTAGTTATCAAACTTCGGCTGATAGTTTCGTCAGGGCTCGCATGCGAAACTTGAGGGGGAAACAGTCAAAGTTGCATCATGCATTCGTAGTAGCTCAGTTCAGCGTGCGTCTCAGCCCTCTACTGGCACATGCGCTGGGTGCGTTGGAAGGCTATTTTGAGCATTAAAATGTCAGTAGAACGGTAAGAACGGCGTTATCCACTTGGCATGAGAGAGGCGTCTGGGTAGTTACTGCTACCACAAAACCCGTTCGGTGGACAGATGCTATTAGTCCGGGGGGAGGGTGGATATTTTCAGTCCATATGATTACACAAAGCTGTTTTTCCTTCGTTACGGTCTCGTACTCCCTGACATGTTCCGATCCCTATACCGTTCGGGCCGATATGACCGATGGATGCAAAATGCCCAATCCTAGACTCTAGACCAGGTCTACTGGTTCTACAAGTCAGCCTTACTTCCAGATGTGACAACTCTCTGCACTTACCCCAAGTCACGGCGACGGTTGTCAAATCGTTAGCGCAATGGCGACCCTCGATGCGTACACTAGTGCGAAATCTGTAGCATAGATGACGGACTCGTTGCACCTGTAGGGCATAACTATCGGGCCCTCGATGCACGTGACTCGACAATCGGCGAGCGCGCATCTTGCAGCAACAGAGCAGCCAAGCCATTCGTTGACTGGTTGGTGCATCGACCAATCAAAACTTCGACGTTACACATTGGTCCATAGCGCATGTCCGTCATGCCAGCGCTAAGGCCAGCAGGCCGCCTCTTCTCTTTCACGCGCGACCTCGTCATGACCAGTGCGGCGGCAACGGCCGTGATTTTTTGGCTAACTCTGCTGATCAATCTAACCAATGCTCACAACGACGAGATGCTCACAGCCAAGGGTGCCCAAATGCTCGGAGGCGTTCAGCAGCTGACGGAGACGGCGTTGAACAGCCCGCCCACAAAGGCGATTATTCAAAAGGCCCTGCAAAATCTAGCTAAGGAGAAGAAGGATCTCTGTTCTGACTACAAACATATCCGGACGCTGCGTGGTACACGACAAGTTGTCAACGGAATCCTATACAAATTTGTAGTGGAGGTTGAGGCTGTACCCAAAGGCGATTGTAAGTCGGCTCCCAGTAGCCTGCCAAAGCAGCCCATGCGTGAGACCTACGAGATCACTCATCTCGATCGTGGATCAGCTGCGGCTGGGGCTGAACCGCACTTCGATTTTGAAAAACTTGATTTGTGAGCTACACCGTAGTATTTTATGCAACTCCAACTTTTTTCTACCAAACCATTATTATTACTGGATTTTCTGCTAACCATGGTTACAATTTTACTTTGTACTGCTGAAACGCTTATTGAAATACATAAATTGCTGCCAGGATCCACTGGTTGTCTCAAATGGTACACTTGTTAACTGGATTAGCTTGCCCTGCGTATAGCCCATTCGACGGGACTGGTTTGAACAGTTCTAGAGTCCATGGCGCTGCAGAACAGCACAGCTCATGCCTTGAATCCAACTGCTGAACCTTCATCGGTAGTTCTTCTGTTGACTCTTCATCCCCTGACGCTGTTGAACTCAGCATCCTCTTGGGGGCTGACTTGCTGGGGTCCATCCATTTTGCAGGGATTCAGTGGCGTTAATTCACGCAGTCTTGGGGTGTTAGCGCCGCGGATGGACTGTTCCTCAGATCGACAGAATGCGAGGACTTATCCTGAGCAACGGCGACTCTTTACTTCTACTAAGGTTCCGCGCAGTTCTATCCGTATGGCAATTGCACTGGAGGTCTTCAGGGCCACGTATCACGCACTTGTGTTGCCCAACTCAACAAAGTATTCTTTTAAGTGGGCACTTCTTTCATTTAGTGATTTGAGAGGGAAGTCATGCTCCACTTTGACAGTCTG